CGACAACATGTCGCTCTTTAACTTACGAACTTCAAAGACGGAAATCCCCGGGAGAGATTATCCATTGGTCATGCATCCATGACCTGATACTTGAGATCTTAGCCTTTGTATCCCCCGCCCCGTAATCCTGCTTTGTTATTTTAATAATTAGATTCCTTGTCAAGCAATTATTGCTTCTCATATTATTGCTGGACTTGCTCGTTATAATTCCTATATCTTTCCCTGAGAAACAAATATTTATGTACTTACGTTGGTTTGCTGAAATGTTTTGGGCCCGAAATATTTGCTAATAAGTGATATTTTTTTCTTTTTCTTCTTCTTTTATGAAGTGTCCCTTCAGAACGAGGGCCCGGCGATGATCGCACTCCACAATTTCCTAGCATTTTAGCTCTTGACAATGTTTTCCTTTTTACAATCTTTCCTGCTCCATGTTCTGCCATCTATTTGCACATGATCGATGTTTTTTCTGCCCTTCTTCTTTTCAATATGTCCTGTGAGTGTCAAATTCTCTCAGTCTGGCCAGTAGAAAATGGCCGCAAACTACATGAAAACTGCAGTAGAAGCATGAAAAAATCGATTATTTCCACTATCGATGGGAGTTGGGAAATGCTAAGGCGGTCTTGGCCTTCCCGCTAACTTGGAGAATGTGCATGTAAATTTTGGTGAAAATCCGCCGAAAATTGCATGGCCGTGTCACACACACACACACACACACACACACACACACACACACACACACACACACACACACATATCCTGCCTTTTATATATATATATATATATATATATATATATATATATATATATATATATATATCTCGTATCCGGAAGATTCGCCGTAAACATTTTTGCCGTAAGAAAACTGCCCTCAAGAATTTTCGCCGTATGAAACTTCGCCGTATAGGATTTTTTTGGCGTCATATTTTTTTCGATGCCCTTAAACATCCCTTTTGGAGTAATTTTCAATTTAATAAGCGAAGTACATTGTTATCAATTATATATGGATGTCTTTTTTACAGAGTCAAACATCAGAAAAGAAATGAAAAAGTAAATATTCATTTAAAAAATAAAAGACCAAAAATGTACCAAATTACCAAAGAAATAATTTAAAATATGTGCAAATTCCAATCAATGCTTCGTAAGTAATGTGTTTTTCTTTGCGTTGGACTATAATGAAGCATTTTTCGTTGTAGTTTTGATTTGATATCAATATATATTTTCTTCATGTGTACTTCATGCCCTCGATCTAAATCAGACTTTTTTCTTTTTTGCTTATGTCTCTTCCTTTTTCAAATACGCAATTTGGGTGCGTGTTAGTATAACTTCGCTCATTAAAATGTTTAAATCGAAGTAACAATAGTGTGAGCCAGATATATTTCATAACAATGTACCTCGAATATTAAAAAAACATGCGGGGAAAAGTCTTACGGTAAAAATCCTATACGGCAAAGTTTTCTACGGCGAAAATTCCTGAGGTGAGTTTTCCCACAGCAAAAATGTTTACGCTGAATATTTCTAGAACTGTTATATATTCGTTCGTTCCCTTGAAGTTCTGTGAATGGTATCAAAGAATAATCTTTCATAGCATTTTTGGCTTCTTAGTAACTCTGGTCATCCCATGGAACTTGTCTAATTTTACTTCGGATTAGACACGCCAAATTCAGATGGAATGTCAAATAGACTGGAATGAGCATGTTTGATGTCTTATTCTCATTGCTTCTAATCAAGTTCCAAAGCTGTTTAGGATATGACTTCATCACCGACATATATATATATATATATATATATATATATATATATATATATATATATATATAAACGATGAATTGATTTATTTTTCGACCAAGTCAAATATTCGCGGACACACCAACAATCAGGATCAGATAAATATTTGAATTATTAACAAATATTATAGTTATATTCCTCATAAAAAGCGCTTATCATAGCCTTCAATCAAATTTCAAATTCCAAATTTGTTATTTAAGTAAAATCATTTAGGAACATGACAACATTTAAATATTCAAAAGCGTTATAGCGATCTTCCAAAATAGATATTGTTATGGTTTGCCCGTTGATTATAATTAAAAATTCTTTTGTGTCAAGGCTTTTGATAAAGAATACATTTTATTATTTTCATCTCAACTATGCAAACTTTAGATACAATTTTATAGATAAAACGAAGAAAAAAAAACACACACACAAAAAAACATAAAAAAAAACAAACAATATAGAAATTTTATTTCAGATTAGACAACCCTTTGAAATGGAATGCCAAGTAGACAAGAATGAGCTTGTTTGACATCTTATTCTCATTGCTTCTAATCAAGTTCCAAAGTTGCTCAGGATATGACTTCATCGCCGACAGATAGATAGATATATTAATAAACGATGAATTGATTTATCTTTCGACCAAGTCAAATATTCGCGAACATACCAAGAATTAGGATCAGATAAATCATTTGAATTATTAACAAATATTATATTTATATTCCTCATAAAAAAAGCGCTTATCATAGCCTTCAATCAAATTTCGAATTCGTAATTCAGTGAAATCCGTTAAGAACTTGACAACATTTAAATATTCAAAAGCGTTCTAGCGATCTTCCAAGCGTAGCTTAAATGTACACAAGGCCGAGAATAGGAATCACTCAGTGAAGATCGAACTGACTACTCCATCATAATTGTTCTTGCGAGACCGGCTTTCTAACCATTACACCGCCCCGAGGTGCCCAAAAGGCATTATAATATGACTATTAAAAATCCATTTTTATATAAGATTCTTACATACATTCGTTCGTTTTTCTGGTGTTCTGTGAGTGATCTTGAAAAATAATCTTTCGTTGCAAGTATACACGAATGCGCATATTCGATATCATCTTCTGTTTGCTTTTAATCAAGGTCACCATGCTGCCAAAGGTGCTCGAGACATTTGCATTCTGTAGAAAAGATGACTTCACTACCAAAAGAATGGCACAGAAAAGGTTTTCTCGTTTCAAGGACTCGTTTTTCGAACTCACGAACTCTACACGTTCGTACCAATCTGTTCAGTTTCATGAGCACCATTTGAAGGCACTGATTAAAGAAGAACCTGACCAAACTACTAGGGATTTGGCTTAGAAGACAGCAAGCTTTCATATTGCTTTCGCTCGTCATCTTCACTCAATGGTGAAGGTCCAGAAACAAGTTGCATGTTGTGCCACACGCATTGACCGCGAGAAACAAATCCTCATCGCTCTTCCATGTCTATCAGATTATTCGATTGACACCGGGCTACTAGTGGATAAAAAGAAAGATTCCTTTATAGTATAATCACCGTGGACGAAAAATGGTGAATATGAAACAGAGAAAAGAATGGGCGTGTCTCGACAAGAAGGCAATGCTCCAAACCAAGTCATAGCAATTTTCTAAGCCCGGCTTAGATGTGGCACAAAGCCAAAAGTATGGGGGCACCCAGCAAGGATCGAACTCACTACTCAGTCGTAATTGATCTAGCAAGACAAGCTTTCTAACCATTACACCACGTCGAGGTGCCATAGCTGGTGATACAATGTGATTATTCAAAATGGCAATATTTCCTCCCTTAGGTCGCTAACACGATTAATCATGCAATTAAATAACTTATTTAGGAAGTTCCGTTACACCCACCATATTCTCCAGATTTAGCGCCCTTCAGATTACCAACCTTTTCGATCGCTTACTAACAATTTGAAGGGTGTTTCGTTCAACAACGACGTGGAGCTTAAAACGTGGCTTCGATTCAAACGCTAGTAATTTCTATCGTCAAATTATTGAACAGTTAGTAGATCGTTGGCAGGATGTCGTAAATAACGAAAAGAAGAATACATTGTTGAATGATTCATCAGAACTATTAATAAATAATAAGTATTGAAATAAATGATAAAAAACGAACGAATTTATGTAACACTTAATATTTACTAATCTTTCGTTAGGTTGGCGTAAAGCTACATGTGTAATATAATAATATAATCGTTCTACAACGATTCGCTTGTTCTTTCCTCTCGGGTGGGAGTTTAAATATATATATATATATATATATATATATATATATATATATATATATTATGAAATGGAACTAAAAAAGAAGTATAAACATAAAAATTGTCTGGACTTTGTTCATTTTATAATGTATGACGTCATTTGTTTACATTTGTATACGCATTGAGCAGATATGAATGTACGTCAGAGAATCATTGACGATTGTAGTTTAAAAACAGTAAAATTAAGCGTGCTAACTGAACGCTCCTCTGTGGCGAAATCAGTAAAAGCACGTCAGGCTGTATGACGGTTCCGTATAGGATACAGGTTCGATTCTTCTTGGAGGATGCATATTTTTTATGACAATTTCTCGGACATTCAGGCCGGTAAATGTTGTTAATACTGTTTATTATAAACAGAGCATTTAGCTAAATATTTGTATCTATAAAAAAAGAATGTATAAACATAAAAATGTCTTTATATATATATATATATATATATATATATATATATATACCAGCCACATCCGGTTTGTCCGACGTGAGAACATTCTAGTCGCAGCGCGTGGACATTTTTTTAGATGTCGAGGTTAAACAATGACATCTAGTGAAGGTGCAGATCTGCCTCTGGCGGCTAGGAGGATACCACTCCCGTCAACCTGCTGATGCACCTGGCTTCTCTGAAATATCGGCGTAAACGCTGTGCGCAAATTCATTTTGGCAACATTTGCCGTAAGTCGCACACTACACAAATAACCAACGAACTCGTTAACCATTACTCAATGTCGATTAAATTAAAAATTTTGGGTTTAGTTTAGTTTTGGCAAACAGCTAAACAGAGGATCGGAGTCAATACTCAGTCATAATGATTTGCGAGACTGGCTCGTTAACCGCTATACGATGCAAGCAAAGAGATTATTGGAAAGAAAGAGATTATAAAATGGAAATTAAAAAATGGAAAATTTAAAAAAGAAATTCAGAAAGAAAGAAAAAATTAAAGAAAGATTAAGAAAGAAAAAATAAACCTGGAAAATTTAAAAAGAAACAAAGAAAGAAAGAAACAAAGGAAGGAAGATTTAAAAAGAAAAAGAAAAACTGAAATTGAGAAAGAAAGTAAGGAAGGAAGGAAGAAAGAAAGAATAGAAAAAGTAAATTTTGAAAAGAAAAAGAGAAACTGGAAAATTTAGAACAAAGAAAGAAAGTGAGAAAGAAAGAAAGAGAGAGAGAGAGAGAGAGAGAGAGAGAGAAAGAGAGAGAAACTAAAGAAAGATGAAGAAGTACAATTTCAAAAGAAAAAGAAACAGTGGAAAATTTACAAATGGAAGAAAGAATGAAAAGAAGAAAAAGAGTAAGTTCAGAAAAGAAAAAGAGAAATTCAAAATTTAGAAAAAAAGGAATGAGACAAAGAAAGAAAGAAAGAAAGAAAGAAAGAAAGAAAGAAAGAAAGAAAGAAAAAGTAAAGAAGCAAGAGAGAAAGAAAGATTTACAAAGAAAAAGTAACATTGGAAAATTTAGAAACGAAGAAAGAAAGAAAGGAAGGAAGGAAGGAAGGAAGGAAGGAAGGAAGGGCAAATTAAAAAAAAGAAAAAGACCCAGTTTAGAAAAGAAAAAGAGAAATTCGAAAATTTAGAAAAAAGGAAAGAGAGAAAGAAAAAAATAGAGAAAAAAGAAATTAAGAAAGAAAGAAATAAAAAACCTAAGGAAGAAGGAGAGGAAGAAAAATTTTAAAAGAAAAAATAACATTGGAAAATATGAAACGAAGAAAGAAAGGAAGAAAGGAATGAAGAATTAAAAAAAAGAAAACGAGCCAAAGAGAAAGAAAGAGAAAGAGAAAGAAGGAAAGGAAGAGAGAAAAATTGAAAAAGAAAAGGAAATCTGGAAAATTTAGAAAAGAAGAAAGAAGGGAAAAAAGAAAGAAAGAACTAAATAAAGGGAAGAAGGAAAGAAGAAAGAATAAAAAGAATAAAAACGAAATTTTGGAGAAAAGACTATATGAGTGAGAAAGAATAAAAAAGACAACGAAAAAAGAAAGGAAATAGGTGAAGAGAAATAGAAAACAAATTACTGAATAAAAAAGAAAGAAAGAAATGTGGCAAGAAAGTAAAGCGACTTCGAACATGAATTGAAAAGAAGAAAAGACCGAAAGAAAGGAAAGAGATAGAAGAAAAAGGAATTAAAAAACAAATTAATTGATAAATAAATAAAAATTTAGCAAGTCTTTGTTTATAGCAAAAAAAAAAAAAAAAAAAACGCAATCAATATTGAAAACAACAAATAGAAAAAAACGAGTAGAGAAGGCAGTTTCGATCAACGAGTGGGCATGCACGTGTCTAATAAATTGTGATTGAAATAAAATACAACTGCAAGAAAAAAACAAATGCCAAAAGTTTGCTTTAAGGGCGCAGGCAGGAATGGTTGTGGGGGCGGGTGTAAGAAGAAGGGACAGCAAGAAACAAAACGTCGACAGTAATGAACGATTTCTATAATGCAGCATTAACAAAAGTTAAAGCCGACAAAAGGAGATCTGTGAATCGTTTGACTGCAGTAGGACAATGGAGACGATTTTTGAGTGAACCACATTGGCGTCTTGTCTCTTCTGCTCCACAAGTTACACTGGGCAAGAGGTCAGTCGTCCTGGACATTTTCTTCCAGCGTTATGCAATTTGCCTGCCAACTGGTTGATAGGGAGGGGGGAAGAATAGCAAGGGTGGGGTAGGGAGAGAGAGAGGGGGATAGGGAATAGGGAGATAGCGCGCATGAGAAACAGAGAGAGAGGATATATATATATATATATGTGTATGTGTGTATATATATACAGAGGGATAGCGAGAGAGAGAGAGAGAGAGAGAGAGAGAGAGAGAGAGAGAGATTGCAATTGGTCTGCCAACTAGTTGATAGGAGGGAGAATAGTGGGAGAGCGGGAGATAGAGGGAGAGGCAGATAGAGGAAGAGGAGATTAAGCGTGTGCGAGAGAGGCGGATATAGAAAGAGGGATTGCAGTTTACCGGCAAACTGGGTTATAGGGGGAAGAATAGCGGGGGATAGGGAATGGGAGAGACAGAGGGAAAGAAAGAGGGAGAGAGAGAGAGAGAGAGAACGTGCGAGTGTGAGAGTGGATATATATAGAAAGGGATAGAGTTAGAGGGATCGCAATTGGCCTGCCAACTCGTTGATAGAAGGAAGAATAGTGGGGGTATAGGGAGATGGAGAGAAAGAGGTAGAGAGAGGGATAAGGAAGGGGGAGATAGAAAGGTAGAGAGAGAGAGAGAGAGGGGATTACATTTGGCCTGTCAACTTGTTGATAGGGGAAGAACAGCAGGGGATAGAGAGGGAGAGGTGAGATAATGCGAGAGAAATGGATAGAGAGATAGGAATTGAATTGGCCTACTAACTGGTTGACAGGGGGAGAATATTGGAGAGAGAGATGGAGAGATAGAGGGAGAGAGTGGAAAAGAGAAAGAGAAGAGAGTCATGGAGCGGCTCAGAAAGTATGTCATATTTGAATATTTGAAATCATTAACCATAGAAAGTCAATAAATTGCATTTCATGCCTTCAAGATTTCTTTCAAAAAGCTAGACGCTATATTTTGATTTTATTTATATTGCTTTCCTCTCCGGTCTTTCAAAATCATCTCCGCCGCCTTGCGGGCAATGAATTATTTTCCAACCATCAAAAACCCTTTCCCACAGATGAAACGTTGTAAGCCTCTGTCTGCTCTTTCGCTATTTCCATGGCTAATGTTCAAACGAACACCATTTCTTAGTTCCACCAGTCTTAACCTTGACTGATAAGGCCCGCCATGCCACACACATTGTAGCGAATCACCCACGTTCCCTTCGTATTCCATTGGTGAGATATAAATTCCACTCGAACAGCTTCTTGCTACGACCCGCTACTTTTTGTAACCATCTCCCAAGAGGATGCTTCCCCGATCACTACAATTTTAAGTTGTTCAAGACTAAGTGTTATCTTACCCACATATCCTCATAAACAGTGCTCCTTACCTCTTACTCAGTAAATCTCTACCTCGGATGGCTCTTAGGACTTGGCGATTGATGTGGCGTGATGGGTAGCAAGAGGATCTTTATGGCCGGTTCACTACAGTGTTCGAAACTCTCCGTATTCGCAAAGCATTCTAGTTTATAACAAAATTAAAACTTAAATTTAAAGTGATTACACGCCACTCACATACAAGATTACAGCACTTAGTGTTCCTAAGAGGTCACCCCTATATCTACTGACTAGTTGCTTAACGTCGGCGATCTTTTGAGAGCCGATGTTTTCAACGTGACATGGCCGTACACTGGGTTCTGGACACTATCTCTACAGATGAAGAAGAGTCTTGAATCGACAGAGATTCGGTCCTCGAGAAAAATACTAAGAATAACATGACAATAGTTATGTGAGCAATGAGGAAGGTTTAAAAAAAACAGTAGCTAATACTTACAATCAAAGACAGCTGAAATGTATGGGACGAAAAACAACGAAAAAGGCTCGGAGAATATAATGCACACAAGGACATGCTCTCGCAACAGTGAATGAACCAAACTTCAGTTTCAAATAGACGGGGTAGCTGGAAATTTTAAAATAATTTTTTTCTATAAATTTCAATAATGAAAAGCTTTTTCTTAGAAGGCTTGCATGCTAAATTAAGGGGAAAAGACAATTTCAAGATTTTTTAATTAATGGCGTAAGTGAAATATTGTGGCTTTGCTAGGGCCAGAAATAGAGGGGAATTGAGTTAAACAAATATATTAACAGAAACAGTAATACAAACATATGCAAACGAGAGTGTTACACAAGAATGTTCGATCCGACTAGTAGAGCTGACTGCTGGAAACTTTCCTCTCCAAAAGGCAATACCTGCTCCTATTTTTAGCTGGGAGAGTCCATGCGTGTGTGGGCAAATTACCATAGCATGAAATAAGGCTTTTCTGAGTGGATTCTTCAAAACTAAATAAACTGGTCCGTTTTATTTGAATCTCAAAAGTCCTTGACCAGCTTGGGGCAATGGATTGCAAAACCCGGAGAAAGATGGATGGCAAAATATCAAAACTTCTTTTGAGCAAGGAAAGACAGGAAGTCATGACCGTCAGCGATCAGAAAAGAGATCAGAAAAACTGGACATTAACATCAATGGGACCCCAGCTAAAGCAAACCAGTGAATTCAAATACCTGGACAGAATATTTACTGAAAACGGCAAACTGGACAGAGAAATCGAGACCAGATGATAGAAAGCCAACGAAGTCAGTTACCAACATTCTTCTCTTCTAAAACATCCTAGCATTTCCATGAGCACCAATTCAAATCTCAACACCATTTTCCTACCAACGCTGACATATCAGTATCAGACCCTAACAAAAAAACCCTTGAGAGGAAACTGATCACTTGTGAGATGAAATGCCTGAGGAAAGCAGTGAACAAGGCCGGGCGAGACAAGATCAGGAATGAGGCAATAAGAGATATGGTAGGAGCAATACCAATCATACAACACATCGAACGACAGAGGATAAAGTGATTCGGATACCTCACTCGTATGACTATCAACGAACCAGCCCTACGAGCATACACCCTCAGGTACTCTGACTGGAAAGCGAGAGGTAAACCAAGAAGACGCTGGAGTGGCTCAGAGCCCACGAGATATCTCCCTTGTAGGCCATTCGCCTTGCCACTGACAGACGACTGTGTCTCCCCGCGACGCCTAGTAGCACAAGCATACACCCTCGGGTACTCTGACTGGAGAGCGAGAGGCAGACCAAAAAGACGCTGGAGCAAATCTGTGGCACTTTCAGAGCCCAGGAGATTTATCTCCTCCAGGCCACTCGCGACGTCTAACAGCACAAGCGGAAGGAAAAAAATAAACTAAAACTAAAAACAGGAAGGTGTGGAGAGCCGTGATCACCCACGCCTTGAATGGGCATATCACATAAACAAATAAAAGAAGTAATCAAACATATAGGACATACGGAAAGATGCAATTTGTTAAACCTTTTACTGCACATTTAGCTTATATTTTATGTCTTTGGAATGAGAAAAAAATATCCTAGTCAGGCAATTATAGTACTTACTTTGTAATAATCGCAGGTATAGATGTCTCTCGACATTCCGAAATCAGATATCTTTACTGTAAGTCCTTCACCGACTAGACAGTTTCTCGTGGCCAGATCCCTGTGCACAAAATGCTGTGACGAAAGATAACACATTCCACTTGCAATTTGAGTACCAATGTCAATCAACTCCATCTGCAAAAATACAATAGAAATGAATAAACAGATAATAACAGAATTATGCCAAATCTTATATTCTCAAAGAAACCATCTTCTTACGTTCAAACGATAAACGACAAAGAAAATTTACTGCGGTCGTCTATATATAAAATTTTATGAATTCCGTTTGTTTGTCCGTCACACATTCTGAAATAATCATAATTGACCGAGCGAAACCAAATTATGTTGAGAAGTGTAAACAGATAACGGGGTACACAGTACAGTTGTCTTTACT